TATATATATAATATATAATGAAATTTTATTCGAAATAAATGTTATATTTTTTTGTCTTTTATCAACATATATATTTTGTCAAGATTAAAAATAACAATATTATACAAGACTTCTATAAAATTATTTAAATTACGGCTAACAATATAATTAGCCACTTTATGATGATAAAACTTTGGCGTCAATCTTATATTCTTTCAAATACAAAAATATGACAAATAAATCAATAAAAAAAAGTAAATAAAGTTTAATATATTTTTGAACAACTATTGCTATTATTTTGAAATGTTAATGGACATATGCATTCAATTATTAGTAAAACAATTTTAATCACAACAAATTTAATTTTTTACGTGTAAATAATAAAAATTTCACTTTTGCATATCGTATCATATTTGCATTAAGCATTACATTATCGAAGCACATTATTAATAGTTCATAAAATCAAAAGATAAACCAAAGATTTAATTTAACTATTTTTCACGTGGCTATTTTTATCTCCATATACTCTTAGAACTTCTTGTATTCGCCTATCCTTACGAAAAAACATGATTGGGAGTTAATAGTACTATTAACCAATAATAACTATTGATGGCCTTATGATGGAATAGCTACTATTCGTCAATCAACAGTTATGATCGAATATCAAAAGTTACTATTGGCTCCCAATCATATTTTTTCGTAAGGATAATCATATCCAGCCACGTAGCAATCAAATATAATTTACTAATACAATGAAACAAGTTAGAGATTTTGCGTAAAATCAGGATAAACATTAAACGCATTGGTCTCCTGTGCATGAAAATTCATTTCAACATCGGTATGCGCCTCGAAAACCTGTTGATGACCATATTGCGAATTCTGTTCTAGGAGATGCTGATGGCGCGCTAGTATGTGTTTCATCAGGCTGTCCTTGTATCTGGTTCTGTGTGGACAAAAGGCGCATTTGAACTTCGGGTCGACCCCACACTCGAAATCGTGATGCCGCTTCAGATGGTGCTTGTGCTTGTAAGTTTTGCCGCAGGTGACACAGGTATGTTTGGATATCGCAACGTATTTCAGATCAACTGAAACAGAAAAAAGTTTACCAGCGGTTAGTACGCATCATTTTTTCAATGAGAAATGTGATGCTTCATGACGATATCAACTTCTTCCGGGAGCGTTCGGGTAGTAAAAGTAATGTTCTCCGTTCTCACCGTGACATTCCGTCTCTGCCGTCCACTAAATGTACTTAGCGTGAACATCAAATGGCAAACACAAATGTTATTCTGTCTTATGAAACCTACACAATATGGATTATCCACATATATCCAACAATTAAGATAGGTACCTGACCACTTTTCTCAAACCCTACTTACCTCTTTGTTATTGTTATCCGATCGCTAATTATCATTTTTTATTCTCAAAGACTTAAAGATTCATGATTTAGAATCTATGCTACAGAACGTAATTAACGTATCACACAAAAGAATAAGGAAAACAATGGGATTTGATTGGCAAGGAATTTTAGAGATATTAGTTTTAGAATGAAATGTCGATTTTATTAAATTACTCACAGATTTATCTTAAATCTAAGATGAAATCTTCGTCAGATAGACTTCTACGTTAGGATAGCGATACAAATATGGAATGCTTCATAATTCAAACAAATTGATAAAAAAAAATATACACAAATCGAAATTTTGCTACACAAACGTTTTAGACAATGGTCGCATTCAGCGAACTCAACAGTTGAGTGAGCGCTTGTGTTATTGATGTATTTTTTTAGCTCATCCAATCAGAATTTTAGATCTAGAAGAATACATAGCAGTGAGCGTTCACTCAACTGTTGAGTCTGTTGAATGCGTCCAATAGTCGCGTTCAGAAGACTCAACTGTTGCGGAGCGGATCCGTGAGTGCTCGCCACTATTGGATGATTTAGAAGAATGCACTAATAACAGCGAGTGCTCACGGAGCGCTCCGCAACAGATGAGTTTTCTGAACGCGACTATCGAGATTTCTTCAAACTGAAGATACTCAGCATATATTAAAATTTTTAAAGAAGTCGCACGAGAAAATTCTCATTTATTCTCGTATTGACCCTTTGTCCTACGAAATCCTCGAGATCTTGGTAAGTCGTCGACACTCGAGTAAATAGAAAGTCAACATTTAACAGGCATACGTCGAGAGAGTTTTCATGAATCCTGATGCTTAGAGATGGACATGCGAGGTACGAAGCCGTGCTTGGCGTGTTTCATCATGTGAACTTGAAGATACGACTTGTAAGTTGCTTTGTACGGACAGTAGGAGCACTGATGCGTCGGTTGCTTGCCGCACTCATTCGTCACGTGCCTCCTTAAGTTTTTCATCTGATGATAACGGCGATCGCAGTTGTCACAGGCGAAGCGACCTTGGCCACGACACCGCCGTCGATCTTTTCCCGTAGCCCTTTGAACCACGTAATAGCTCATCTTCATGTAACCTGAAAACACGAAGAGCACTTTATTAATACTAGAAGTAGCACTGGTCTTCATCATCCTCATAGTTTGATGGGAAAAAAGTATTTCGTTAATCGATGTGTACCTTAAATCGAATATAAACGAAACTATTTTGTTGACAAAGTCAACTCAAGTCTTGCGTGATATCAGATACAGTAAAAAAAATAACTGCAAACAGGATAGGTCGCTTTCGAGTAGGCTGGATCGTAAAATTTTAACGTGATCGAAAAATAACAGTATAAGAAGAATATACAAAGCTATATGAGAAGAGATCCGCCAAGTATCTGAAAAGTATAACATATAATATCACAAGCATGCAAATACAATTACACATCCTCATGTGCATTTTATTAAAAAAAAAAAAGAGTTCTTCAGAACTGTTCTATATATACTCACGCTTTGTATTCTCCATATCATCTATACATAGTACAATTATTCGTAAATTTTCTCACCATTGTCTTCTTAAATGCACTGTGAAGAGTTGAGCGACGATTGAATTCGTATCTAGTGTAGGTACTAGGATCTAGTTTCTCTAGGAATTAAGAATGATATTAGCGAGGAAATAATAATATGCGTCAATATTTCTCTCAATGTGTATTACGAAGATAAAGAGAATATTTTACAAGCCACTGTTAATGTACAATAATCGATCATTCGAACATTCGTTCTGACTCACTTTGACGCGTTATTAGCTAATAATGAAATGTCAGTTTTATTTACAATTGCACAAGATATTCATCTACGTACTGACACTCTATGGAGACATTTTCCACGCAATTAATGATAGGATGTGACAATATTACAAATGTAATCAATTAATTATGTTTTTGTTTTATAAATTAATGATTTTATAAATATAATTTAAATAATGGAACAAATCTTAACTAAATATAGAAACGTACCGTACATCGACATAAAAATTGATTTATTATCTTAAAACAGAAAAAATCTTTTAATATCACGATGCGAAAAATCAATTTCGCCCAACAATTTGCAAAACAAAAAGATAAAATAAAATTTATTCATGCTTGATAAATATCAAAATATAATTCGATTATCCATAATTCTAATCTCAGTAATAAAAAAGGAGAATAAATAAAGTTGTTCGACAAATGATTAATCGTTAGGAAACGAGAACGGCAAATTCGGATGTACATGTGTGATGTGCTTCGTTATGCTGGCCTTGTACTTGCTCTGATGCTTGCAATAAGGGCACTTGTGCTTCGGCGCCTTACCGCACTCGACCACGATATGTCGACGCAATGATCTCTTCACCTTGTAGCATCGCCCACAACGAGGACATGGGAAATTCTTTGGCTGTTGAACTTCCATCACTATTTGGCCTTCGCTTGATCGATAAATCGACTTGATTTGCTGCGAAGACAACGCCAAAGGATCGATGTCCGCCACAGTGTTGAAGTGCCATTCTGAAAATGTTTGTGCGATTGTTAGACGGGAATTCATTTGATGATATTTTGCTACACGTAAATATGTATGTATATATGTATGTATATAAATCGTAAACTTATTATGTGTGATCAAGCGTCCGTACAGGTGTTCTTCCGACGGCAACGTCGATCCGATGCATAAAGACTTACTTAATATATGAATTGAGCAACGGTTCATATATCCCATAAGAAAAATTTTAATACAATACTTGTTGCTAATAAATGACACATTTTAATTAAAAAATAAAGATATTTTTAGATTATTAATACAGAAAATTAATAAAAAATAAAGATATTATTGGATTAATATAAAATTCATACACTGATGACACAACATAGTGTCTTTGTGTTTCATATTAATTAATCTCTTCAGAGATTAATTAATAACTATAATATATGCAATCAAAAATTAAAATCACTGATTAAAAAGAACAAATTAGATATTCACTTTAATACATAAAATAGTACAAATTATTGTAATAATTATTATTGTTAAGGAGTTTCTCTTCAGCAAAACATATTCAAATAATCCCAAGAGATCGATCAATAATATCTCAATAAACTTTTTGTGCAACTACATCAATTTCTTTAAAACGTTTTATAGTCCTAACATTTATTATTTTCAGCAAATAGCTCTACTAGTCACGAAGTTACCATCGAAAAAACAATGTTTCAATCACTCTTGCGATTATAAGTCAAATATCTTTACCCTTTATTTTCACAGTCGTATATATTTTATGCAGTAACATCTCCCATAAGAAGAGCAGTCAAAGAATGATTTCTTCAATATTCTAAAACTGAAATAACCACGGTTACTGAAAAAAATCTTAGAATTTTGTAAAATAGATTGAATGTAAGCAATTGTTCCATTTAAGGAAGCTATATAATACGTCATAATATAAACCAAGCCTTAGATTAATAACTGAAACAAAATGTCCAATGTAATTGATAGGGCTATCATAGAAAAGAAAGCGGTTTATCATAATTTTTATTGAAGTATATATATATATATATATTGTATATAAATAGGTATCTATAATACTTTGCGTTTCGCACGATATTCACGCACACATAAAAACACGCGCACACATGCACACACACACACACATATATGTGTGTGTGTGTGTGTGTGTGTATGTGTAGTTGTCATGTTTTATAATAAACGTATTGCAAAGCGTATTACTATCCACATAAGCGTGCATAGTCTATGTCTTTCTTATTGTCAATCGTGCGTGAATGTTAATAATAAGTTCATTTGTATTTTTCGTCATTTATCGGATGTTTCGAAACTTACTCGTTACATTCAGTTTCGTTCACAATAAACTTAATTGTATTAGGATAAATATTATTGTTTAATGAGAATTAAGTAATTAAATAAGCTTCTTTAATATAAAAAGTAATTACGTATATTGACTCGATGCTTCTCTGTTTCGCAAGTTAACACTTATTAAACTTTGGCATTGAAAAATCTACGATATTTCGTACTTTCGAACCAATAACGCTGCTTTTTCAAATCACTTAAAAGAGCGACATTTGTATCTTAAATATATTTTTTGCAGATATTAAAAAACTAAATCCTTTATTTCAATCTCTTATTTCAAAAATTTATAACGTGTA